TAAAATATGACCAAGAATATAATGGTTATTTAAACATAAAGCCATAACTAACCCAAATCAAGATCACTAAAATCTTCAGGGAATAGTTCCTAGCTAGTCTTGGAACACACTAGGTATGTTCTCTCCTTCGGCTCTTTGCACAAGCTGGTGTGCCTGAAATGTCCTTCCCCCACATAGCTGGAAGGCTGCCTCAGACTACTCAAATCCATCTCTCTACAGCCTACCATGAGTACCTTATTTAAAATCACAAAAACCTCCCACTCCCCTCCACACACACTGATTCCCCATCCTCACCCTGCTTCATTTTTTCCCATAGCACATAATATTTATACTAATTACTATTCCTTTTGTTGATTACCAGTCTCCCTCCCTGCCTCCCCCACCCTCTCCCTCCAAATTTAAAACAACCAAAAACAAAATACAAGTTTACTTGGATTACAAGAGACAAAGCTAAAACATAAACATGTGGAAAGATAGAAGGTTAAAGAATTGAAAAATATACACTAAATATTAACCAAAATAAGGTAGAGGGAGCTAATTTGATATTACTCCAAAAAGATCTTAAGGCAAAAGCATTAACAACAAGGATGTCACTAAATGAAATAAAGATTTAATTATATCAGGAAGACATAATCCTAAACTTTATTCACCTAACAGGATAGCCTCAGAATGTATAAAGCGAAAATTGATAAAACAGGGAATCTGACAAATACATCATCATAGTGAAAGAATTCAAAATACTTCTGTCAATTAATGATAGGTCAGACAGAGAGAAGTTAGTAAAGTAATGGAAGATTTGGACACCAATTAACAAGTTTGATTTTATGGACATATATAGAAAATAACAATTAAAAAATATACATTCTTCCTAAGCACATACAGTACATTTTTAAAAAATGGCTATACCTAGAAATAAATCTCAAAAGAATTTAATAAAATAAAAAGCTTACATTTGTATTAGCTTCTTATGGCTGCTGCATCATTCCCACAAACTCAGTTGCTTAACACAAGATGTCTCTCACAGTTCTATAGGCCAGAAGTCCAAAATCAATTTCTAGGCCAGTACCAGGTGTTGGCTGAGCTTTGCATCTTGCAGAAACTTTAGGGGAGAATCCATTCTTGGCCCCTAACAGTTTCTGGTGGCTGCTGGGGTTCCCTGGTTTGTGGCCTCATCACTGCAATCTCTGCCTCTGCGTTTACATTCTCTTCTGTGTGTAATCCTTCTCTGCTTCTCTCTTACTAAAAATACTTGTGATTCCATTTAGGGCCTATCCAAGGTTTCATTTCTAGATCTCTAACTTAATCAAATCTGTGAAGTCCCTTTTCCAATAGGATAGCCTTTATAGGGTACAGGGATTAGGACCTGGTATCTTTGGGGGCCGTTATTCAGCCTACATTTATATGCGTTTTTACTTTATGCCAGGCTGTATTCTGAGCACTTTAAAATACTAATTTATGCTCACAACGATCTATTATTCCCATTTTTCAGAAGGGAACACTGAGGTAGAAAGGTTGTAAGTTGCCCAAGTGTGCCATAATCACATGTTCTCTGACCACAATACAATTATTTAGAAGTCAATAACAAAAAGATTTACTTTTTGAAATAATTTCATATTTATAAGAAATTTTCAACAGTACAAAGAATTCCCATATACCCTTCACTTAGAGTCCCCAAATGTTAACATTTTAACACATGTTTTATCATTTTTTGCATACATATTTTTTGAGCCTTTTGAGAATAAATTGGCTATATGTCTCATTACTCCTAAGTATTCTAGTATGTATTTCCTAAAAAACAAGGACTTTCTCCTGAGTAACCATATTACAATGATGAAACTTCATGGTGAAAACAATGCTGTTTTCTAATCTACAGACCTTACTCAAATCTCACCAACTAGTTAAGAGATACATCCTTTAGAGGAAAAAAATTTTTTTTTCTTAATCAGGATTCAATCCAACATCATGAGTTCCATTTACTTGTTACATTCCTTTAGTATCTGAAACTTTGGACACATGGCTGGTTATTTTGTATATCCCTCAATTTAGGGGTTTCTGGTATTTCTTCTTGATTAGGTTCAGGTTATACATTTTTGGCAGGCTTATATCACTTGAGTGATGTTGTGTCTTCAGTCTATCCTATAAGAATGCACATAATATAAAACTGTCTTATGGTGACACTAATACTAGTGTTTTTTTAAAGGTAATATATTTATAAAAACTTAACTTTATGCTTTTAAAAGTATACTTTCAAATAATTCACAGGTCAAAGAAATTTTTAAATATTAATACTGAAAGTAGTAAGTGCATATATACATGCTTGTGTAAAACACAAATTGTGTAATGTAGATCACACAATTAAATATAAAAGATTAAAGATAATTAAACCTAGACCATAGATGTTTATGTAAGAATAGAAAATATTAAACATGAATGGATTTAAATGTCCAATTTGTGAAATAAGAAAAATAACAGAATAATCCTCCAGAAAGCAGAACATAAAATGAGAAGGGCAGAGAGGATCAATGAAGCTTAAACTTGGTTCTTTAAAAACTAATAAAATACACAAACATCTGGCAAAATGGCCAAGGAAGTGAGAAGACTCAAACAACACTGGGAAAGGAAATGTTAAGTATATACCTAGCAGAGGTTTAAAAAAAAAAGAAAATTCCTTGAGTTACTTTATGCTAATAAATTTGGAGGGGAAAATGAGTGAATGCTTAGGGAAATTTTTTTTTTTTTCAAAACAGACTCAAGAAAAAATAGAAACCCTGAGTAGTAGTATTACCATTCAAGTAACATCATCAGTGGTTAAAAATCTTCCCACAAACAAGTATGAGGACCTGATGGTTTTACAGACTTAAGGAAGACTGTTCTAATCTTTAACAGATTCTTCTAGACCACAGTAAAATAGGTAACATTCCTCAGCTCACTTAATGATAATAATCTTGATATGAAAACCAGACAAGTACAAGATGATAAGCCAATTTCCTAAATATGGATGCAAAAATTTCAAATGAAATACCAGCAGACTGAATTCTCCATATATAAAGATAGTAAAATATGACCAAGAATATAATGGTTATTTAAACATAAAGCCATAACTAACCCAAATCAAGATCACTAAAATCTTCAGGGAATAGTTCCTAGCTAGTCTTGGAACACACTAGGTATGTTCTCTCCTTCGGCTCTTTGCACAAGCTGGTGTGCCTGAAATGTCCTTCCCCCACATAGCTGGAAGGCTGCCTCAGACTACTCAAATCCATCTCTCTACAGCCTACCATGAGTACCTTATTTAAAATCACAAAAACCTCCCACTCCCCTCCACACACACTGATTCCCCATCCTCACCCTGCTTCATTTTTTCCCATAGCACATAATATTTATACTAATTACTATTCCTTTTGTTGATTACCAGTCTCCCTCCCTGCCTCCCCCACCCTCTCCCTAGTCCAAATCTAAGAACTATAGAGGCAAGAATTTTTGTCTGCGTTGTTCTCCAGCCTCCCCCCGACCACCCCACCGAAAACAGTAAATGGTACACAACTGGCACTCAGTAAATGCATACAACAGTATGTCTAGAAACTTTGGTAACAAGGAAGACAAGCTTGCCTTCTATCCTTTCAGGATTGCCATTTTTAGTACCCATTTTGCTTGCTTTTCAATGACATGTTGAAGGAGAGTGGACAAAGTTGTACTATGCCATTCATCACTCTACAATTTTTTCGTCTAATGTTTGTGTTCATGCTAGACACAATGTCCTATTTCTAGATGTCGCCATACAAATCTCTGAAAGATGAACCACATTTCCACAAGGGAATTAAATTCTGTCCATATTTATGTTTTGCATCATGAGTGACATTAAATTCTGTCCATATTTATGTTTTGCATCATGAGTGACATAAATATGCTAGTCCAAAAATATTAGAATGTCACAAAGTAGGGAGTCCTTAAAATTTTTAAATCTAATTAGCTTTCAAAATATTAAATAAAAGCTTTGATAATTTGTTTTGAACTGGTAAAGTACAGAACAAAGTAGCAGAATCCAGAATCACCTAAATTTTCAGTTAATTTTGATGGCAATAGTCTTAAGAAGTTATAGTATGACTTAAGCTCATTTCATTCTCAAAGTATTATTATCACAATAAGCCTCCTCTTCCACACTGAATCAACACCATTTTTATTGGTGTCAGCAATGATATTCGCTCCAGATGAAGTTCAGTTCTATTGTATTTCAATGCAATAAATATCAAATGAGAACTCAGAATTCATCTCTTTAAGGCAGGACCACATTTGAGGAAATAGAGACAAATATTAACATCTTTCTTTATTCCCAGTGCATGCGGCACTGGCACAAGGAGAAATCTTAATTGCACACATCTTTATGTGTATAAGAAAACTCATCTCACATTCCCCCCATGCTCCTTCACTAAAAGGACAATGAAATAACAAAAAATTTAAATCTAACTTGCTATGTCATGACTTAAGCTGCCTCTCCACAAATAATCAATACTATCTTCTACTCTACTCTTTTTTGGGTTCAAACTTTATCTAGTACATGTCAGGCTATAAAATCAAGTCAACATAGAATCAAATCTAAAAGTCATGCTTCACTGTTGTGAAGGCCTGAGGAACACTGGTTTCCCTCACAGTATGCTTTTTCTTTTCATGTGCCTGGGAACAGGTTTTCATGTCATCATCTTCAACCTTGAGTGTCAAATACAAAAGGATACTTACCAAGTTGAAGCAGTCAGAGTCAAAACTCAGACGTATTGAGATTGCTAAGGGATTTCCTAGAGAGAATATAACTATTTCCTAACTGGGATAATAGAAAAAGTATTTTATGTACTTGTAAATAAATTCTTCCCATCTCTACCAATTTTACCACCAAAATGACCACCACCACAATCAACCAACCAACCAATGAGTGAAAACAATTAAAACATTGCCCAGGCCACTGTGATTACACCATTCCTACAATAAAGTGAGAGCAAAAGGCAATGTGTTTTTCATTAAAATTGAATTTATTCAACTTAAATAATTATTCATTATTCTAAGATTATGTTCTTCCTACTTTTTAGTGCTAAAAAGTCTTTCATATAAGAATGTTAATAGCAGATGGTAATTTGGGTTTTCCTGTTTTTGTTTTATATCCTTAACTGCAAAATTAGAAGCTAGAAACACTTCAACATTCCAATGAAAAATTCTTTTTTTTTTTTTTTGCAAATTTACTGGTGCTTAAACCTAGAGCCTAGGAACCACAGCCTAGGTAAAGACCTACTTTCTGCGTTACATGTTTTACACATTGAATTATTTCTTGGTGAGTTCCCTAAACAATATATAGCAGGATAAAAGCAAGTCTTAATTTACATTAAGCCAGTATAAAAATGGCCTTAATTGCAAGCACCAAAGAAGTGTCTTCAACCACCAAAGAAATATGTTTTCAACCATCACCATGTATATATCATCTTTTATATCATATTTTGTCCTTTTATACCTTTCTTCTTATTAAAACTAATTGTATTGTTATCCACAGGGCACTGTCTTCAAAGTATACTACTACTTCGCTGATACCATTACTGCTCTAGGGGCAGCCTGTTGTCACAGATGTGAGCAGTATTCATGCAGTGCACAAACAAAGGTGGCTGAGGTACAAGCAGGCCACTTTCTTGGGTCAGTGTTTTAGTGGTACCACAGGTGGCTGCCCATCTCAATGCATATTTTGCCCATTTATCTTTATAAATCACACATTTAAACTTTCAGTATTTATATACATTTAAATTGAGAATATGTATTAGAGGAAAGCATATTTTAGTGGGCTTCATGTGTCAAAAAAACCTAAATTTCCATATATTATTTTTACATCATTAGCTACCTTTGAGTATATAAATGCACAAACTGGAATATGATTTAGAAAAACTGACAGAGAGCTATGCAAATTGCAGATTGCAGTGTGTCCTCCCATAAGTGAATCAATTCATCTCTACTCCCTTGAAGTGTTAAAAACAAAGAAGACTAGCTGGCCATTACTTTTTAAAGTATGCTTCAGATTAAATACAAAATAATCATCATTGGCATTTTGGGCCAGATGAAAACTGTTGAGTGTTATGTAGAACTCTACCACGATTTGCTATAATGGTTTTCCTTCCATTACACTGTCCCCACTAATATTAGTTCTCTATCCACTTAATATGACCATTTGTGTTAAACTTCAAAATAACTCCTGGGAATATCTAGAATTTATATCAGGAACTTCTGAAAGCACTTCTGCTTTCCTCCCAATTATGACACCATTTCACCTTATTAGTAACATTAAAACGGCAACTGAGGGTTTTTGAATGGGTGGGTGCCTTGCAATAAACACGCACAGGCTGAAGCATCTGGCCAAGTTACTCTATGCAGTGATCAATGGTTAGTTCTTCTTGGTTTTCTTCAGGTAGCGAGCTCGCATGGACTTGCCTACAATCATGCTCACTTTAAGATATATCCAAGAAGGCAGGATTGAGGATACTGCACCCTAGGGAAAGAAATGGGGAGATAAGTAATTATAGCCTGCAATTTGAGCTAAATTAAAGTGTAAGATCTTATGTTTTATGTTTTACTTATGGGGAGACTTTAAAGGCTTTGGGTATTTAAAAGTAACACAGATGTCTCCTTAGTACATCTAGACAACAAATAAATGCTAACACATCACATACTATTTTGTAGTTCAATGGGAAACCCCAAGCCAAAGTACTGATGTGGGACTTAAAAGTGTACATACCATAAGAGAATGGACCAGGTATCCATTGGTGCGGGATTGCACGCCCACTGTTTTAATTGCAGATTTCACAAACGTCTCTGACGAGGGTTTATCCAAAGTTGGCTTTCGGATTTTAGCCAGTTTTGTGGCTACGAAGTATGGCAGGACACTCTAGAAAGGCACCACCCCCACAAAAAACATCCATTGATTAGCAAAGGCCACAAACGCAGAATTCACTGTGGTGGTTGTTCTTTGTAGCAGAAACATTCTGATGAAATCTAAAGTTTGTATCCTTATATAGAGAGAAGATAAGAGAAGTGGCTTGACAGAGCACATGACAGCAAACAAAATTTAATAAATCAATCAATAAAACAGCATTTGAGACTAGAGAAAACATTAAAAACAAGCAGAAATACATACCTTTTTGAATCTTTAAAAAGAAGGCATTGAACACTGGAATGAAGAAGGAGATATCTAAGCTGGCCTGTGCATACAGTAAAACAACAAATTTGACTGGATCTATACTGTTGAAACTCAACCAAGAATTAGAAGTGCAAGTTGCAGGCTCCAAAATCTTGTGACTACAGACTATCTACTGTTAAAAGAACATATGGGATGTGAACAGTTCCCAGGAATGTGTTGTTTTAATTTGTCTGATTTTTCTCAAACTATTCAAATTCAGTTAGATAATATCCATCATATCATGATAAGTTTTCACAAATGCCTAGGGTGCCTAACTGGTTTTCTTGGTTTCACTGGATATGGCCGGTAATTGTAGGTCTGCTTTGGTTATGCAGCTGTATTCCTATTATGTTAATGTGTGTGCGCAATTTAATTAGTAGTTTAAAACCTATACATGCTTATGTTACTCTACAAGAAGATATGTCAAAGAAATAATCAATCTTCCCATGTTTTCTTCCATCTGCTACTTCTATAGCTTTTCTTTTTCCTTCCTAATAACAACCCTTAAGTAGAACTTGTGCCTCATAACAAAATTACC